ATTTAGGATTAGTGATTCCCCATGCACTGTCCAGTGCATGAACTTCTGTGAGTGAGTCACCTTTTGGGCCAATAAAATACCCATACTTTTCCAGCTGGCTTTAGCTTTGATTTTGTTTGGGGGGACTTTTTTTTTTTAATTTCTCAGAGCCATGAGTGTGGCACCAGACAGTCTGGCAGCCAAGACGTTGCCTATGAGCTACTGACTATAACCTACTTTTTTCAAGGGAACAAGGGTAGGAATGGGAATCCTAGGTCTAGCCCCTTTTCCTGATTCTGCCAATGTTCCGTTCTGTGCCTCTGCTTCCCTCTTTGTACTGTAAAGATAATATTTATTTTCCTCTTTTACACTAAGGGAATACAACTATTTGATCACAAAACTGTTGAAAAAGTGTTGAGCTGTTACTCGAAACACTGAATCATTATTTGCAAAGAGTCAGTTTATGGCCTTTAAGTTGTGGTCACATGTCCTGTCATCTGCAGCTGGACCAGTCTAAAAGATGAATGCCCCAGCTGTTCACTGCTAGTGGCACAATTGCTCTCTAGCCCTTTCCTCTCAGAATAATCAGAATTAACTTGCAGGAGGATTTTTCTAACCTGGCTTGTTTAGAAAGAACCTGGCTAGGGAGTGATTACACATGTAGTTACACTAGCAAATGGGTGGGGTAACGCATTCTCCAGTGGTGGAGCAGAGGAGAACAGCTGGCAAAGCTACCTCTTCACTCAGCTCAGCTGGAATCAAACCCGGCCTGGGGACTTACTCACAGTTGAGCTGTTCTTTACAGCAAAAGTAACTTCACCCAAATCAATAGAGCCACTAATCACATCTCTCCGAGTAGCAGTTGCAGAATCTGACCCAAAACAGCTACTGTTTTTGACAGAGTAAATTCTCGTCATGCAAAGATAGTTGTTGCGTTGGCTGTTCCCAAAGAGAAAACCTACAGGCTCGCTGGCAGCTCCACACCGAATACTTGGTTCCTTGAGATTCGTACCAGGTAAACAAGCCTGAAACTGAAGCGCTCTGGATGCCCATGGAGTGGGCAGTAAGTTTTTTTTGAGGATCACTTCTAAAGGCGAGGGAACAACTCCTTGTGTAAAACATCAATCCTGTGAGCAATCTGACGAGACCGCTGACCAAACTGTCACTCTCTGACATTTCAGGGATAGGTATCTATTCACCAGAAACCAGGTTTATTGCACAGGGGCCAGAGAAAGCTTGCCAGGTCTTAATGCCTTTCAGCCGTTACTGGCAATGCTGTGACTGTGCCCAAATGTGAAAGGCAGTGTATCACATTACCTCCGCTGGCTTCAGGGTTCCTTTGCTTCCTGTGCTCCATTAATGCATCCACTGAATGAAGCAATAAATACTGCATTTTTTCTCTGCCCACTGCTTTTTAATTTGCTATTTAGAAACATTATTAGTCAAAATGAGGGTATTACAAATAATCCCACCCACCTTGCAGCACTAATACACAACTAGACAGAGGCCCTGGTTTTTCTCTTGTTTCCTGAGTGGAGCAAACAGTGAGGTTTTTCTCAAAATTACTGAGAAAAAGTTTTTTTGTTTTTTTGGGTTTTTTTTTTGTGGGAAGAAGCGTTTCATTACGGATCTTGAACAGAAAAGAAAATATCTGGCAATACTAAAATACTTGATTTTGAGTGGATACCTCTACCCTAAGATTTCTCTTTTTTCCCCCTCCAAAAACTCCATTTAGGGAAGATGTTAAAATATTTCAACACTTCCAGCATGATTCAGGGGAAATTCAGCACAGATTGATGTCTCGGGCCTTCCCAAGGCATGAAAATCCAATTTTGTGCCAGCTTTACAAATCTTTTGCACTGTGGCTAATTGGTGAACACTGGAACTCGAATGAGGATAAGTATCCTGGAATCTGTCACCATCATTCCCTTTCCCTATTCTGGTACTTCTCTTAGTCCTTGCAGAAGAGACTTAGGATATAGAATCTGTATGTTCCAAATAAGTTCTGTTTTTCTGAGCAAGTGTTCGCACAGCTACTAACCTTCCCTTTTTTTTTTCATTTCATCAAGTTACAAGTTTAAAATATTATTTTTATTAGATTGGAGACAAACAAGCTAGTTTACTGGTTTACGCTTCTCTAACTACAGCATTATATCAAATTTAAACCTTTTCCTAGAGGTACATATTTGTATATTTGATGTACAAGGAGTATGTATGAATGTATGGTAAATTTATCAGCATTGACTGGACTAGGTTATAACTTAGGTTTGCACAGGCAAGTTAAAAAGAACTACACTTCCAGATTGAGAGTCAAACGCTCCTGAATTGACAGCCTACCAACAATCCCATATCTCTGCGATATTCTGTATGATTTCTCTTGGTACTTGATACAGGAGGCTTATGCCATTTTGTCAGAAGCTTTTGTGTGGAGAAGCTGAGTCTGAAACCCTCAAATAATTCTGTGAAGAATTCCAATTCTGTAAAGATGAGCTTCATGGAACAACACCTTTTGCTTGAAGCATACATTACCTGTAGTCCTCATCTGCATGCACATTTACTGTGCTGGTGTTACTACATATTTCCTTTCACATTTTCCTGCATGCCCCTTTTCTCCTTTTTATCAGAGAGTTGCAATAGAGTTACTTTTTAAACAAGACTTTTTTATTATCACAGATTTGATTAATTTTACTAAGATTTCTCTTCAGATATGTTTTACTAAGCAGTTTCCCTTTCTGCCATATAGTGGGCTTCCTAGCTTTAACAGAAACAAAATGCTTTTTTTGCCAGAGAGGTTGTGGGGTCTCTATCCTTAGAGCTATTCAAAAGCCATCTGAATATGGTCCTGGGCAACCAGCTCTAGGTGGCCCTGCTTAAGCAGGAGGGTTGGACAACATGACCTCCCTTCCAACCCAGACCAGTCTATGATTCTTTGAAATCAGAGAGCTAAACTAACAGGCAGGCTCAGCTACAGCTATCATAGGTCTTCATTCACCCACTAACACAATCCACAGCTGAGTGCTAACCAAGTCAATATGTGGCAAGCCTGTAACAGCTGCCCTTAACTTTCATTGATAATTGTTCTCCTTTAACTGACATAATATTCAATATACTGTTGTTGAATGTAGTAATGGTAAAATTCATGCCTTAAGGGCTACAATGTGATTGAGTTTTAGCCAGATAAACTGAACTCTGACCTAATGGTGTATTATAGGCCTTTACACCACTCAAATGCATAGGTCAAAATCCCACTCTGTATAAATCTTTATGTAATTATATTACAAGCCACTCTTGCATATATAAAGATAATTCCAAAAGATAATTAAAACAAAATGAATACGAGCCTGATTCTACGACCTTTAAAACAAGAAAACTACTGATTTCAGTCAGTTGTCTTGTCTGTAAGGGACACTGAATTACATTCTATGTTTGCAATACATTACGCCTAACTATTAATCACATTTGGTAAAAGGGAAATTTCTAATGTTATATCTTAGAAAGGATGCAACTTTTTATGTGTATTACTTTGCAAATAATATTTCTTCAGCCTTCTTGGTTAGTAGCATTCAGAATCCAGGAATCTAAAATATGATGCAATATGCACATAATGCCATTACATTACATATGTCTATAGATATCTATCACATCCTTATATAAATTATATATAATACCTAGTATCTATAGATACATATCCATACATATATATCATACAAACACCTATAGATATTTACTGTATAAATATCATGGATGCATACTTACATGTAAGTTTTAGACTGGTAAGGGAAGAAATGGATTCTATTGTATTTGAAAATGTGTAGCATTTAGCTTTTACAATATAGTTGCCTGAAAGAATCCTAAAACAATTAAAGACCTCCATTTTGTATATATCCTAATAAGAATAACAGGATCTCATTATTAAAGTAATAGCCTTTTTATTACTCTTTCACCAGGACTGTTCAACAATTCAGAACACTTCTCTGCGAAAATCTGTGTGTAGAGCATTTAAGAAAATATTTAAGAACACAGAATATGAAGGTTTCCACAGAAGTATGTAAAGCTAATTTACTTCTTTCACACAAAGGACAGAAAATTGAAGAGGAGTTAAAAAATACAGTCAGAATTCTGCAGAGCAGGACTGTATTTTCCATATAGTGCCAAGCACACTATCATTGCCTAAGAAAGTAAAGAAATAAATCAGAAACTAGAATTTTCAAAGTTTTTCAGGCATGTCCACTTCAATAACTGTATGACTTCTAGATGATGCAGAACTCCCACAAAGTCAGCAGCAATTAAGAGAACTCAGAAGCATGTAGTAATAGATTCTCAATCAGAAATAGTCTTATAAAATGTAATAATTCACTTTGGAACCAAACAGATGATTAAATTCTTCAGCTAAGCAACCATACATATTCATGATGATACTCATAAAGCAAACTTCTCCACTTTTGTGTTTACTTCTGTTTTGTTTGTTCATCTGATCTCAACCAATCTGCATTTAACACTTTCTTTAAAGCTACCTTTTTAAAAATGGCCTTACAAACAGGATTTTCCTGTTTATAAATTACACTCTAAGGATACTTCCCAACACAACCATGATCACAACCCCCATTTCATCTACCCCTTCTTAGGTATCTTGCTAAGGAAGGAAAGAAAAGATGAAGGAGCTGCTGACTTGGATCTTAGTTTCTTAAGTCAAGCAGTAGCCCTTGAAAATTTGCCAGTTGCCTTTGATGACCAAATCAGGCTTGCAGCTAGCTAACCTCAGTATTTGCAGTATTTAAGGTATTTCCTACAATAAGTGTAAGCAAGTACAAATAAATACTACAGTACAAAGCAACCTGCATTTTTTTAGTTAGGAAAAATTGAGCATTTTATTTTGCCAACACCATCATTAGTCTTCAACATCCCACACTAAATTTACTTCATATCCTTCTACCTCTTAGGGTGCATGGTCACTACACCTGTACAAAAAAAAAATAATTCAGTTAACTGGGTTTGGAAATATGCTTTGCTTTATTTCCTACCTGAAGGATGTAGCCTCGAACATAGTCTCGAAGTGTCCAGCCTAAGCCATGCAGAATATGCAACACCTCCTCTTGCTTCAGTACACTGAAGAGTCGGTCGAGTAGTATCTTCAGTCTCACAGGCACAGCCTGAGTACCGTAGAGCATCAGGCTGCTGATGTCAAACACAACATTGGACTGCACAATCTCCACTTGTGTTGGGTGGTAGAGGTGCTGAGTACTAAGCTTGTCCAAGGCTGAAAGAAAAGGGGTTAAGTGTAAGAAAAGAGCTAAAGTAAAGACAAGAACACAATCCCAAAGAATTATTTAAGGACATCAACTTTGACAGATGCACTTATTTTCCAGAAAATTATCACCTGGACGATTCCTAGAATCATAGAATCACAGAATGGTTTGGGTTGGAAGGGACCTTTAGGGTCATCTAGTCCTACCCCCCTGCAATAAGCAGGGGCATCTTCAACTAGATCAGGATGCTCAGAGCCCCGTGCAACCTGACCTTCAATGTCTCCAGGGATGGGGCATCTACCACCTCCCTGGGCAACCTCTGCCAGTGTTTCACCACCTTGTAAAAAATTTCTTCCTTCTATCTAGTCTAAATCTACCCTCTTTCAGTTTAAAACCACTACCCCTTGTCCTGTCCCAACAGACCTTGCTAAAAAGTTTGTCCCCATCTTTCTTAGAAGCCCTCTTCAAGTATTGAAAGGCTGCAATAAGGTCTCCCCAGAGCTTTCTCTTCTCCAGGCTGAATAATCCAACTCTCTCAGCCTGTCTTCATAGAAGTGATGTTCCATTCCTCTGATCATTTTTGTGGCCCTCCTCTGGGCCCGCTCCAATAGGTCCATGTCTTTCTTGTACTGAGGGCTCCAGAGATGGACGCAGTACTCCCCGTGGGGTCTCAGCAGAGAGGAGTAGAGGGGCAGAATCACCTCCCTCGACCTGCTGGCCACGCTTCTTACTGGCTCATGTCCAGCTTTTCACCCACCCATGCCTTCAAGTCCCTCTCAGCAGGGCTTCTCTCAATCCCTTCATCCTCCAGCCTGTATTGATACCAGGGGTTGCCCTGACCCAGGTGCAGGACCCTGCAACTTGGCCTTGCTGAACCTCATGAGGTTCACATGGGCCCACTCCTTGAGCTTGTCCAGGTCCCTCTGGATGGCATCCCGTCCCTCAGATGTGTCAGCTGCACCACTCAACTTGGTGTCATCCGCAAATTTGGTGAGGGTGCACTCTATCCCACTGTCTACATCATTGATGAAGATATGAAACAGTACCAGCTCCAATACAGACCCCTGAGGGACACCACTCATCATTGAGTGATTCCTCTTCACAGATGCAGTTGGAATCAGGCCTCATTTCCAAAGGTCACAATTAACTTTAATTCCTACAGCAGAAGGGTGCTCAGCTGAGCCACAGAGACGACAATACTTGTAAGTATACATAGAGAAAATTTACAATTAAATGATGACCAGGACTGAAACTATGCAGAATTGATTGGGACTGTTAAAGGTTTGAGACTCACCAAAAAGAAAACAGATACAGCCTAAACCCCAGCTTTTTAAACATGTTAAAAATTAGTCCCCTGATTTACCATAAATTCTATCATGAATTCACTGCTACTTGAGCTGGCTTGTTTCTTTTACCCTTCTGTGTGAATTTCACGTTATTCACTGTGATGTGAATAATTTAGGGATGAGGAGAGGGCAGGTTTGCAGGATGAAGGTAATTCTTATCCCCTTGTGAAGTTAAACATGATGGAATTGCACATGACATCATGCACTTTACTGAGTATCAATGTTTAAACTTAATTTTCTTTCAATTTTGTGGACTTTGTTGCAGCACCTAAGCTTCTCATTGCTTTTTTTTAAACAAAACTTTCTGAGCATTTAAAATAATTTTATAGGGACTTCTTCTCCTGTACTTTGGTTTCTTCTTGGCTCATGGTCACTGGAGAGTTCATGTACTCTTGATAAATTGCTTTCTTACATCCAGAGCGCAAAGGCCTTTATCATTTACTCGCTGGCTTCATTCAACACGTTTACTCCAAGGAATACTTTGTCAAAGATTTCTGGATTCCTCGTACTTCATTGCTTGCAACTGATTTGTCTGATCTTTCCTATTCTAGTGGTTAAGTCAACTTTGAATAAATAGCTTTAAATATTAATTTAACATTCAAAAAAGATAAGGAATTGGCAAGCCTAGGGACTGTAGTCCTATGTCTCTCCACAGGACATTTATACTGCAGAATGTGAAGGGTGGAATTTTTCTTCCAAAAGCTCTTCTTCCAAAGTACTTCAGCTATATAGGCTTCATGATGTGGGACTGCTTTATTTACAAGGTCTAATGAATGGGATTTGATTAAAACTTAAACAGGTCAATTACTTTCCTATAATTTTTTTTGCCCCTTTTATGTATGATATTTTTGTTACATGATTATTTTGTTACTACTGTACCAGATGTATCATCAAAGTACTCAGCTAGAAAAGCCTATAAAATTGCTTTTGTTACTGTGCAGGCTGTGCTGTATGTGTGCTATGTATATATGTATACCTGCGGGGCAGAGCAACCATTTGGAAGAAGTAAAATGAAGTAAAATATTAATATTTTTTAAAAATACTACTATTACTCACAATATGAATGCTGTAAATAATATAAGCATTAATAGATGTAACACCTTCTAGCAGACTATCAAAATAATTAAGCAGATCTGGATCACCTGGAGTTTTCCACCTCCATCTTACAGAATGAGAATTGTGTCCGAAGAAGTTAATTGGCTTCTCCAAGTTTACATGAATTCAGACCAGATTCAAGAGCTGAATGGGTATTTTCTGAAGACTCAATGTTTTTTAAGCAGTGCTTCATACTGTATTTCCAATATATCTCAATAGTTGTTTTTGTTTCTCTTTACTTAATAGTAAACCCTATGCCTTCAATGAGAAAAAACAAGTTCTTCCAGCTAAAGAAGACTTGGCTTGCTGAAGGGTTTAAGGTCATGATTTTACTTTGGCCCAAGTCAGAATGTCTGTAAGATGTCTTTATCTAAAGACTATTGGGTGGATTATAAAACTAATAGCTAGAATGAGATTACAAAATTCTGTGGACTCACTTCATGTAATGTGATCACTCTGAGGACAACAGCTTTGGAAAGGCCGAGATGGAATAGAAGTGAAAAAGAAATTTAAAAGGTCCTTTTAAATTACTAAGCACAATCTTTGACCAGCAGACAGCAATTTTCACAAGATACCCTGTACTGTTCCATTTATCTGCAACATTTGTCTTCAAGCAGTATTATCTACAGACATCCACTTCTCAAAACACACACAAGTAAGAGTTAGTCCAGTGTTGGATTAACTTTCCAAGTGACAGTGAAATTATCTCCAATTTTGATTTGTGGCTTTATTCTCCACATTATGTAATAACCAAGTAAGCAATGAATTTTATCCTTTTGAAGTACAAGTCAGGATATGCACTGAAATGTGTAATTTATAACACAACAAAGCATGTATTTTTGCATGGGTGTGTAAGAACATTTGCAAACTAAAGACGGACTCATGCTAAAGACAAAGAAAGCAAAAAAAAGGAAAAAGTTGTACTTGAAAAGAAATGAAATGCACCCATACGACAAATAACAGTATGGTAAACGTCTGAAATTCTTTCGGATCACTAACTATCAAAACACCTTGCACTTGGCAGGAGACTGAAACTTTTCACTATAATTTGTAATTTATAAAAATTACCTTGTTTCTTTAAAAGAGATTGCTAAGGAAATATTTGACAGAGAGAAGTTGCTTTCTGTAGCACTTCTAACTGACTTCTCCTCTGGTATCATTAGTGAACTATGCCAATATTCTAGGTAGATTCAAGAGGCCATTTATGTTGTTAGACACATACTTTTTCAAATAAGAGATAAGAGACGGACCAAAGTCTCACTGTTGTTTTTTCTGTAAGGACAAGAACATTAACTATAGCATTCTTGCCAAATCTCAGAGTAGATAGTTGTATTCTGCTGTCCTGAACTGCCCTTCTAATTTCACGTGGGTAATGCATTCCTCACCTTTTTCTGTTCTAAACTATTGGTTCAATTTCTATATGCTCATGAATAAATGCTGTGTTTCACAGGTGAATACATTCAACAGTATCTGCAGCAGTGTACGATTTCGTAAGTGCTTAGGAGACTTGAAGATGAAACATGCTATATAAAAGAATGAACTTTCTCATATGTGAAAAATGACATAAACAGATTTGTCCTTATTAAGAAGACATCAGTGACTGAGCATCATAAACCACACATTAGAAGTCCCTTCCTCGTGCAGCATGAGGTATTAGACACACTTCTAACACTTTCAGTGGGCTTAAAAGTTCACCCAGAAAAGTCTTAACATGTTTGTGACTTTTTGGTCGTAACCTGTACAGTCTTTTCCAAAAACGTGACTACGATGGGTTCAGCTAGGTGCGCAAACTAAGAAGGCTGCCTTTTAACAGCCCAATTCAATTCTTAGCACTGCCCTGATAGTCTGATATTCTTTACCTCTGTGTCAGTGGAAAGCTGTTCACTGAGACAGGAAGAAGAGATCTCATGAATCTTAAAATCACATAGTTGCTGACTAATCAAAATTTTTGTGGAACAGCCTAAAAAGGCCCTTGTGTTTTACTACAACAACATACAGATGAGTAATATTTCTGTGATGAATTCTAAATTTCAAGTACTTGTTTCAGAAATTTTAACTATTAAAAAAGGGAGGCAAAAAACGATTATAAAGAAGCAGAAGACATTATAGAATTTTCCCTTCAACATCCAAAAATTACTAATTGGGTAATTAGTATAAGAATTAGGAACCTTTCAGTATGTTTTTTCTTACCTAAGTCTGAAGTACCAGATATGTACCATAAAGATTTAGATAACTTAGAACATTTCAGTTGAAAGGGACCTACAACAAGTCCAACTGCCCGACCACTTCAGGGCTGACCAACAGCTAAAGCACATTATTAAGAGCATTCTCCAAATGCCTCAGAAACACTGAGAGGCTTAGGGCATCGACCACCTCCCTAGGGAGCCTGTTCCAGTGTTGACCACCCTCTCGGTAAAGAAATGCTTCCTAATGTCAAGCCTGAATCTCCCCTTGTTGGCTTATCCACTCTTTACCTTCTTGAATAGTAAACAAAATCCATCAGATTTTACACAGACTGTGCTCAGTATAATCCGAATTGTAAAGAGAATTTTGAAATTGATACAATGTCA